CTTTCAATTAATTTCTTGACGGAAATACAAAGTTCCGAACCGATAATAAAGATGACAGGAAAGGAGCTAAGCAAGTTGAGCACTAGCAGGAAACCATGTGCAATCAGAACGCAAAAACTGCTAGGACTCAGATAGAGACTATCCTACTTACCACAATCTCCACACTAGACAACGGTGAACAGACCACAACTTGTAAAACGGGGATACAACCCACTGAATTGTGGGATACAAAGTTCCTTTTTCGAACTTGCCCTAGGATAGGAGGAACATAATGGAAGGAGGGGTCAGGGTTTGGTGAATTAGTCACCTGCCTTCTTCTTCCTGGTGATGAAGCTGGCGCTGGAGGAGAGCCCCTTGATGCGGTTGGCCGGCAGAGGTAGGTACTGTGGCTCAGTCCCTAGCACCGTGACACCAGCGACAGGTGGGGAACTTTCTTCTGCATTAGCCATAAGAAAAGAACCTAGTTATGGAAAGGCAATATGTGTAGCAGCAAATACAGAACACCAGAGATACAAACTGTTTTTTTTTAATTATTTCTTCAACGTTCAGTCACATGTCAAAACTGAAGTTGTTGAAGATTATTACAAGAAAAAAACAAGGATTAATCATTTCTACAGCAAAGAAGAAACATGAATGAAAGAAAATACTAAGATCGGCAAGCTACAAAAGCACTAGTTGCCCATGGTAAAATATGATGCCGTGCAGGACAAGCCTTGGATGGGTTCGAATATCATGATCCTAAATTTCTGCATAACCTACAGAGCTGCCGTTCATTTGAATTACATTGAACACCAGATGTCGAAACCATTACAGCTAGGTTGGGACCTTTTAGGATGATCTGACATCCCACAAAAAAAGTTCACCCTCAAGGTTATGTTAATTGCACTAAGCAATAAGATTAACTGCACTCAGTATTTGCATGCCATCACCATCCTCCATTTCCCAGACTTGAGCAATATCAACCCCATTGTTCATCTTCATTAAACAGTACACCATCACACCATATTCTTGGACTAGGAAAAACAAGGTTGCACACTATGGGCAGTATCAGCGCCAATCAATCACAGGATTGCTGGTACTAACCAACCAAACCATGGTACAGATCACAAGCATATACAGTGCGTATGTCTCAATAAACAGAGTACAACCCACTGAACCGTGGGGAAAAAATTCGTCTTTGGATCTTACCCTAGGATGGATCGGAGGACGAGAATGGAAGGAGGGGTTGGGGTTTGGGGGTTAGTCACCTGCCTTCTTCTTCTTCCTGGTGATGGAGCTGGCGCTGGAGGCCAGCCCTTTGATGCGGTCGGCCGACGGAGTTGCGGGAGCCACGCCGGTGACCCGATGCGGCTAGGGTTCAGATCCGCTTGCTTCGTGATGATGCCTTCGTCGTGGATCCGCCGCCGTGGGGAGCTCGAGCAGGGACCACTGGCAGCACCGCCATGGCCGCCCTGCTCGATCTAAGGGGGAGAAGGTGAGTGGGGGGCGGCGGGAGCGGTGGAGGAGAGGGGCACGGACGAGGTCAGCGGTGGGGAAGAGAAGAGGGGGAGGAGGACGCTGGCTGGGGAGAGGGAGGTCGCCGGCTGGGGAGAGCGAGGCGGCGGCGGCGGCGGCGGCGGACTCTGTTTGGTTTGGTTTGGTTTGGGAGAGGAACGGAAGGCAAGAAGAGAAGAGGGCACGGGTTGGGTTGGGTTGGGCTGGGCTGGGCTTGCGAGGTAGCCCAAAACTTGCCCTTTCTTTTCATTTCCTTCATCAAAGTTCAAACTCATCCCTCGAACAAAACAAAAATCGGAGGCTCCGTTGTTTGGACGTGTGAGTTTATGCTACTATAATAATTTAATCACTCGATGATGAGAATGATACTATAATAATGTTTAACAAGGAAAATGCATATGTAATCAAATATATTTGGCATTTCCAAGCATAATATATTAACTATTATTGTAACACATATAAAAATGGTATGCAAATTTTATCACTGGGATCAAATAAACACCATATCGTTTCAAGTGATCTACAGCCTCCCACGTAACAATATTGCGACCCACTGCGGCTAGGATCCACCTATGTCTCTATCAGGCCATGCACGCTGCCTTAGCCGAATATATGTGGTGCTCATGCCAGATTGGTGATAGAAGCTACAGATCCATCACCGTCATTGATGGGAGGTTAAGGAGTTGTGCAGGCACTATTAGGTCACCACGGAGTAGAACATGGAGGATATAAGCAGGGGAGGAAGGGTGTGGCTGGAAAGGTCGGAGGAGGAGGAAGGAAGTGGATATATAGGTGTTCAAGTCAAATGGGTTGGGGTGGAGCACGAGATGGACATCTGGCTAGGGCATTAAAGGAGCGCGGACAGGAAGGCATGCATGTCTCTCCTAAAAAAGAAACCAAAAGTTGTGTGGTTCCTCATTAAGAGGGAGTGCTTTATTTGCAAACTTTTGCAACGACATGTGATCCTTACTTTCTCCTTGATAACAAGTCGGGCCAGGGAGTTGATTTTGAGCGATTGATTTACTTATGGTGCAAAGTATTGTATTGTTCCACTTGCATGCCCAATAGAAGAGCACAGTGAAGACTGCATGCACTCATATATTTAAACAGGTGGTGCAAGTAACTTTGAGGAGTACTTGAAGGCACATGCATGAATACATCTAAATTCGTGGCATCTAACACTAGTAGAAAGCAGGGCTTTCGTCCAAACTCAATATACACATTAGTCCTTGTTGCATCACAAACCGGGACTAATGTGAGCATTAGTCCCAGTTTGAGCGGTTAAGGCGTCGGGAAGGCATTAGTCCCGGTTCAAATGGGACCTTTAGTCCCGGTTTGAGACACGAACCGGGACTAAAGGGTGCGATGATCTTTAGTCCCGGTTCGTGTCTCAAACCGGG